CACGATGCCCAATCTGCATCACAAAAAGCTTTGAGTTCAAAATTGGAATCTGTTGCAAAGAATAATCCTTGCCCTGATGTTCCTTTCACATATCTGAGCACATGGTGTGCGGCATCCAAGTGAGGCTTTCTAGGGGATTCAAGATATTGACTTAGAACCTGTACTGAGAATGACAAATCTGGTCTTGTAATGGTTAAGTATAACAGCCTTCCAATTAGCCTCCTGTACATTCCTGGATCATCTAGCAACTCCCCTTGATCTTTAGTCAATTTTAGACCCTGCAACATAGGACATTTTGCAGGCTTTGATCCTAAATAACCTGCATCTTCAAGGATTTCCAAGGCATACTTACGTTGACAGACAGCAATGCCTTTGGATGATCTTGCAACTTCAAGCCCCAAAAAATATTTTAAGACTCCTAAATCCTTCAGCTTGAATTGATTGTCCAGATTCCTTTTAAAGTGCTCAATGTATGTCAGATCATTTCCTCCTATTATGATGTCATCAACATAAATGAGGAGCACAGTGTAAGAGCAGTCAGTTCTCTTGCTGAAAAGTGAGTAATCAGACTTAGATTGAACAAATCCTTGAGATGTGATGAAGGATGACAGCTTGGTATTCCATTGCCTTGAGGCTTGTTTGAGTCCATAGATAGATTTGTTAAGTTTGCATACCAATGTGACATCATTCTCCCCCTGCTGCTCATACCCCGAAGGTATCTTCATATATACTTCTTCCTCGAGGTCTCCATGAAGGAACGCATTGTTTATGTCCAGCTGGTGCAGATGCCAACTTTTGCTGGCTGCAACTGCCAACAAAGCCTTGACAGAAGCTAACTTAGCCACAGGAGAAAAAGTTTCTTGATAATCAAGTCCAGCCTGTTGAGTAAATCCCCGGGCAACTAACCTGGCTTTCTTTCTATCTTCAGTTCCATCTTGCTTAAGTTTGATCTTGTACACCCACTTACAATCCACGGCCTTCTTATTTGTAGGAAGTGAGGTGACTGTCCAGGTATTATTATTAACTAAAGCCTGATATTCATCATTCATGGCTTGACACCAAGCTGGGGATCGAATTGCCTCTATAAAATTCCTTGGCTCAACATTGGTAGATAGTGACAACACATAAGACCTGTGAGCTGATGAAAGTGAATCATAACCTAAAGTGTTGGATATATCACAGGATTTGCCAGCAACATGATTGGGAGTAGGTGAGGTATAATGTTGCTGGGAACGTTGAGAGGCTAGGTTACAATGGAACTGTTGGAGATAGCTGGGAGGTTTTCGAAGTCTAGTAGATCTGCGAAGAGGATTGACATTTGAATGTTGTGAAATAGATTGAGGGATAGGATTAGATATAGATGAGGATGGGGATAAGGATACAGGAGTAGAGGTAGAAGGTGGCAAGGATGGACTAGGCTGTGAAGGTAAGGTTGATGTATGAGGAATGCAATCTGATATAAGAGGAGATGAAAGAGGGAATAAAGGAGCTTGTGGAGATTGAGTAGAAGTTGCATCATAGTAACCAAGGGTAGCTAGGAATGTAGGATCATTGAATGGAAATATGTTTTCATGAAAAATGACATCCCTAGAAACAAAGACCTCATGTGTATGCAAATTGTACAGCTTGTATCCCTTTTGAGTGGGAGGATAACCAATGAAGATACAAGGAATAGCTCTAGGGTCAAACTTATGCCTATGCCTTTGAAGAGTGGAAGCATAGCATAGTGAACCAAACACTCTTAAATGAGAATAGGAGGGCTTTGCTGAGAATAGGATCTCATAAGGTGAGTTGTTTGAGAGAGATGTACTGGGTATACGATTAATGAGATGTGAGGCTGTCAAAATACAATCTCCCCAAAATTTGTCAGGAAGTTTGGCTTGGAATTTCAAAGCTCTAGCAATGTTCAATAAGTGTTGATGTTTACGTTCAACTTTGCCATTTTGTTGTGGTCTCTCAACACAACTCATTTGATGTATGATCCCTTTTGAGGAATAAAAGTCAGCCATGATAAATTCAGCACCATTATCAGATCTTGGTGCCTTAATTTTGGTACTAAACTGAGTTTCAACCATATTGGAGAAGGTTAGGATAATTTGTCTGGTTTGTGACTTAGTTCTCATTAGGAAAGTCCATGTGGATCTACTATAGTCATCCACTATAGTCAAGAAATATTTCGAACCATCAAGTGAATGTGATTGATAAGGGCCCCAAATATCACAATGAATTAGTTCAAAAATGGATTGAGAAACATATAAACTATGAGGAAAAGGTAATCGATGCTGCCTTGCCATAGGACAAATATTACAATGAAAGTCAGAATTCAACTCAATTTCAGGTACAAACTTCTGTAAAGTGGAAACTTTAGAATGAGGAATATGTCCTAACCTATAGTGCCATAGTTCAAAAGGCAACCTAGTGACAGCATTAAAACTAGGAACATGGTCATTGTTCATGACTTTATTACAATCAGCATTGAAATGATGAAGAATAGATTTGTTGGAACAGGTAGTGTGTGATGGACCACTGTTTGAAGGAGTACGAAGCTGGTAATGATATAATCCAGCTTCAAGTTTCCCAACTCCAATCGTTGTCCATGTAGAACGGTCCTGAATGAGGCAATGGTCAGATAGGAATATTAGGCAACAATGGTGAGAATGAATGAGTTTGCTAACAGAAATCAGATTGCATTGAAAAGAAGGAATGCACAACACATTGGTTAATGATAGATTTTCAGACAACTTCACAGATCCTATACGAGTCACACGAGCCTTATCTCCATTAGGAAGTTTAACACTTGCATTTACCTCAGCAGTAATGGAGGATAAATGACTGATAGAACACACCATGTGATCTGTGGCACCAGTGTCAATTATCCATTTATCTTTAACAGCTGAGACTGCTAGACAATAAGCGTTACCTGAGAATGAGGGAACATCTGGCATAACTAGGTTTGCTTGGCTTTGATTATCAGCATTGCCAGATTGAGTGTGAAGTTGTGGCTTCAGTATATTAAGAACTTGTTGGCATTGTTCCGGCGTGATAGTCAAACTTGAGAAATCATTTGACAGATCAGAAGAATTAGCATTTCCAGTTGCTTGATGTGCACTCGAAATTGGTTCCTTGCTTCTGTCCTTTGCCAACCTATGTCCTGGAGGATATCCATGAAGTTTATAACATTTCCCTTGTATATGTCCAAGCATCCCACAGTAATTGCAGCTTGGCCGTTCCTTCCTTGAATTTTGGTTTGTGTGTGTTGATCTCTGGTTATTTCCGAAATTTGTCGAATTATTCATCAATCTACTCACAAATGCACCAGTTTCCACATGAACCTGGGTCCTTGATGCAACATCTCTCTGCCTTTCATCTTGTTGAACTAATGCAAACACTTTGTTCAACGTTGGTAAAGGCTCCATCAGTAATATCTGACTTCTTACATTGGAATAGCACTCATCTAACCCCATTAGGAACTGCAATATCTGTTCCTCTTCATAATAAGGATTGTGAGTTTGAGGCCTATAATTTGATAATTCTTCCCATAACCCCTTCAACCTATTAAAGTAAGCATTCACAGATCCATTTCCCTGTGTAATTGAAGCAATTAACTTTTTCAATTGATAAATTCTAGGTCCATTACCCTGACTGTACCTATCCTTCAGTTCAAGCCCGATTTCACGGGATGATTCCTTGTGCATAACACTAGGATACAACTCCTTAGGAATCGAATTTATGATCCATGATGAAACAATGTGATTACATCTACGCCAAGCAGCATATAGAGGTGAATCTACTGAAGGTCTCGATAAAGATCCATCAATGAAACCTTCTTTGTTTTTCACGCTCAAAGCCATTTCCACAGCTCGACTCCACGTCGAGTAATTTTCATCAGAAAGCATAACCGACACGATCTGCATACCTGTGTTATCTCCATAGTGTACGTAATAAGGACTCGCAGGATCTGAAATCATTCGTTGAGCTGCAATTATCAGCTTTTGGTGAAGAATCGTTAGTCGAAGCTTCAATTTCAGCATCTGAACTCGTTGCCATGAACGAAAGGGAATGAAAAATGTGCAGAACACAGGAAATCACAGATCTACTTTCTACGTCAAATAACTGATGGAGATCAATTAACTCCAGAAAATTGCAGCAGCAGGAAGCATCTGCTCTGATACCATGTGAATTTTATACTGCGATTAGAGAGTAAAATGAGAGAAGGCACGAATGGGGAAAGAGTTTTTCTTACTAACTGATGTTCATGATACAATTGTGTATACATATATACATTTAACCAAAATGACAGCTCAGCTAACATGGTGAATTACATAAATAACCCTACATTCCTGTAAGATTTTCTACTATTGGAGTTAGAAGTTTGATGCAACCTCTCACTATATGCTTGCCTTTTAGTTCTTTATATTTGGCTCATCGTGTTAGTTTTCGTCATAATTTATTTTTCTAAATATGTATCTAACTATTTGGAGATATGGATTTTTATGTAATTTTATTCGTTTTTATTTGGTTTTGAGTGGAGCATTTGGGTGGAGAGTTTTCTTGTTTTTGTGTTGGAGCTTTTTGGTATTTAAAAAGAGTTGGATAATATCCTGGATACAACAATTGGGTGTTGAGAGAGCATGGCATGCATCCATTACATGATTAATGGATGCTACGATCTAATTTGCTACATACCCCATCCAGTGTAGAACAACATCAGTTCTGCCATCTTGTTAAAGTGGATCCTGCTATGGTCATGCGTCTGAGCCATTGTTACTTGCTTGTGAATGAACCTAAGGAAGTTATTTAGTCATTATCTAGACTTAAGTTCACCTTTCTTTTCTAGTACAGTTTAATGCCCCTTCCATGTTGTTCGGTACCCAACTTCTCTTGGTAACAATTTTCAAAAAATTCAGCCATCATAAACATTATCAAGGACCTGCCAAATAAATATCCTAGTGAAGGTAATAGAAGAGAAGATTTGGAATCTAATTGAGATTGTAGAGCAAATGTCGGTTGAAATCTCGCGTACGCATACAGAAAAATCTCTAGAACTCTTGGTTGGTCAAAGGGAATTTAAAATTTCTAGCATTTTCCGGAGTATTCTCCTTTCTAAGAACTCATAATCATGAGCTTTTCCGAAGCCCTTGTTTTTAAAGTTCTTCAAGAGTTATTTATAGATACAAAAGAAGAATTTCATTTTGTTTCGTCAAAATATATGTAGGACTACATACACTCATAGATTTATAAAGAAATTTATGATTTCGTTGTATGTGGTTGAATCTCATCGCCAAAGTGTTCCAAACTCTTTAGTTTATTTCTGCTAAACGCTCTTCTTTTCAAAGACTAACACGATTAAGTACATATTATTATGTGTATACAAATCATGTGGTAGTAAATTATACGAAGAACAGTTTCGGTCTGCTTTTTGTCATGTTACACATTCATCAATGATGCATTAAGAGGGGGCCCTGTTGCTTTGCCTTTATAATAATTTACTGATGAATTGCTTGTTGATGTAGGATACAATTACTGGATTTTTGCTGGCTGGAGTGGGTAATGTTGATTTAAGGAGGAAAACAAATTATCTTATTGTGGACTCAAGTATGCTTTTTTTACAGTTTTCCTGTGGTTCTTTCTTTTTTATTTTCTCAAACTTTCAGTGATTGATTACAGAGATCAGACCAATTCCAGAATTGCCTTTCCTTCCTTATTGGTTCAAGTATTGAAACAAATCACCTGAACTGAAAGTTGTAAAATAGTTGTTTTGGGAGGCATTTCAAGCAAATGTCGATACCCCTCTTATTTCTGACAGAAATTGTGCATATGGATATGAATAAAATATACACTCAAGATGCCTTCTCAAGTACTGAAATATTTAGGAAACTAAAGAAAAATAAATGAAAGCCTTGAACACGAGGCATATAGCATACAACAGCTAGTTTAAAAATTATACTGTATGCGCTAATGTGTTCCTTAAAAATATATATAATTTGTATGGTTGTGGGGTTGTGCTTATTGCTGGAATGTTCTACAGGTACTTATTTTAGGTTTGTTATTCCTGAGTTGTATCTTCCAAGTTCAGGCCCGACTAGGTAAATTAATAAGTTGGCGTTTGAATCGTATAGCTGGCTAACTTTGCTCAAACTCTAGTTTATCCCACGCACAAGCAATTTCCTGGTCTACATGTTTATAGTGCTCTTTCGTGCCAAATCATTGACCTGAACACTGCTATTTGAAGCTCAGGTGAAATTACAGAGATTGGGTTAGAATCCTGAATCTCTAGATATTTTTGCAAATTTTCTGGTGATCTCGTCTCGGTTAGCTTTTCGAGTCTAAAAAATTCTCATTGGCTAACTTTGCTCAAACTCTAGTTTATCCCACGCACAAGCAATTTCCTGGTCTACATGTTTATAGTGCTCTTTCGTGCCAAATCATTGACCTGAACACTGCTATTTGAAGCTCAGGTGAAATTACAGAGATTGTGTTAGAATCCTGAATCTCTAGATATTTTTGCAAATTTTCTGGTGATCTCGTCTCGGTTAGCTTTTCGAGTCTAAAAAATTCTCAATTGATCTGGAATATTACAGTAAATAATATCAGTCTTGTTACTCCTTTACTTTTATGGCTGTATTAATGTTTCAGAAAGACAGTTTTTTATGACAATGGTTTTAAAGGCTTAATCCATAAATTTAGTCCTGTTTATCCTGAACATTTGGTTTCCGTGATGAGTGCATTACATTTTAAACCATTTAAATAGGTGAAACAACAATTTTTTTTTCAAGAATGAAATGCTAGCAATTAGCTTTCATTAACGAAAGTTGTCAAAACAAGAACCGTTATATTTATTCTCTAGCCGAATTTGTAATGTCCTTACTCTTGGCTTACAAAGGATTCCTGGTTTTGGTTTTGGTTCTGGTTCAGAAACTACGGTGAAACAGATTGAAGATGCTTTCAAAGAATTCACAACAAGGGAAGATGTTGCAATAGTGTTAATCAGCCAATACGCAAGTTTTTTGCTTTATTTTGCTGCATCTTTATTTATACTTTTATCATTTAAAATTAAATTTATGAAGTGACTTTGTGAGGATGATGCCAGCTAATGTGCCTCAGACGAAAAAAATATACTTAATCATGCATGTGCGCATTTTGAACCAGGATATAGAATAGTTGGCAATATTGCACTCTTATGGCTTGTTTGGTAGGGTGGACTGAACCTTGCTGCATATTGAATTTGTCTGAAGTGTGAGATTTAATGAGTTTTAAAGTAATTGAATTGGTAATTACATTGTTCATGGAGTAGGGATCGTGATCTGTATTAATCCGTAATCTATTGTGAAAAAATTTCAAAATTAATTTAATGTCAGAGGTTCTATGCTGTGGACTACTACTTGGCACTTGATGCATGTCCAAGTTTAGGGTAGATAGGTTGAAATTTGCAAGTTTTGTCATTGTAGTTACACTTATCATAGACAGCTTAAAAGGTGAACCAATTCTTCGATTTCAGGTCGCAAACATGATAAGGTTTCTAGTTGATAGCTATAACAAGCCTATTCCAGCAATTCTGGAAATCCCGTCCAAGGACCATCCATATGATCCTGCACACGATTCTGTTCTTTCACGAGTGAAGTACCTCTTCTCCACTGAGTCAGTGGCATCTGGAAGGCGTTGAATTGTTCTAGAGAATCATACACGTCGCTGTTCCTTGACATGCTGCTTTGTTTTCTTCTTGTATTTTCCAGTCAACTAGATTTATTGCACTTCAAAAGTTATTTTGTCTCATTTATTTATTTTTTTGTACTGGATGAATTATTGTTTGAAGGTGGAAGATTATCCCTAGTATAGATCATGATCGATCAGTTGAAAAACACTTGGTGGGAGTTTCTGATTTGGAAATATACTTGATTGTCATGTTTTTCGATTCGAAAATAACGGGCGAGTCAAACTTTATTCAAAATTTTATTTGGATTTTAATTTGTCATTTAACTAGCGCTCAAATTTGACCAACGAAAATGCCGAAGGTGTAGTCTGAGTCAGCAAAGATGTGTTGATGGGACTTGCGTCACAGGAAGCCCTTGTTTTTGTTTTCATTATTTTTAAAATATATTTTCCTCTCTTACTTTCAATCACACATTGTAATATTACACATTAATCAATTTTTTTATTTTTTAATCACATGTTTTTCAAATTAATATTTCAAAATATATTTTGTACAAAAAAAAGTGGCTCAAACAGGCTGTTAGTTCTTGTTCGATAGAGATTTTTTGATAATGTACTTAGTCGAAGTGACTTTTTTTTTAAGAAAATGTGGGTAAAAAGTATAAAAAAAGTTATGGATTTATGCGTAAAATTATTTTATTAAAAGAACATATAATTGAAGATGAATTCGAGGAAAAATAAATTTTAAAAATTGATGACTCAATGAAAAGTAATTGAAAAGATCGTGTTTCTCCATCTCTTCAAAGTGTATCTTTTAGAAGTTAAGCGCCCGTTTGGTAGTAATTTTTCATTTCAAAAAATTAATTTTTTATTGTTATTTCATTATTTTTGACCTCCTAATTTATCACTTTTCTCTGACGATCAAAAAATTAATTCTCAAAATCACTTTTCTAAATGTGATTTAAACCTTCCTAAAAATGCAATATAAATAACTTGATTTGATAATGTCAAGTACCATTTGTGGATCAACGTATGATTTTAGCATTAAGCTGAATTTATGTGTAATTTTGATAGAGAAATAAAGTTCACGTATGAATTTTGATATAAGGGTAAATAGTATATAATAATATTCGTGTAATTAACTTATCAAGTGTCTATCATATCATAGTGGCATAGCCGCATAGATAATTGAAGAAAAATTAATTTATATACAAGTGGAGTACAAGTATGATTTTAATACAAAATTAAGTTCATGTACCATTGTGTATTTGCGCTAAAATTTGGGACCAAAGTTACTACGCAAGCGTGACGAATTGGGCATTTATCGGGGTGTATATAATACAATAACGTACTTCACAGCTTCCAAAAATCCTAACCACTTCGGAGTTCTAACTCGTTAACTCACTCAACTATCTACAACCCAGACCCAATTAACTCAACTAACTCGCTGACGATGGCAAACAATCCAGGGGAGGACCCGTCCGACGATTTTCTCGAACAAATCCTTGGGTTTCCGACGTATGGAGGAGCCGATACTAACATGGCGGGAAATGATGCGGCTAGCTTGGCAGGAGCTCCGGCTTCGATGATGCTCCAGCTCGGCTTGGGCGACGGGTCGGATCACCTAGGCGGCGTCGGAGTCGGCGCATTCCATCACGGTGGCGTGGATGCTAGCGGTGGCTTTCCATTAGGATTAAGCTTGGAACAAGGAAGCTTAGGAAGGGGAGGGTTTATGAAAATGGACGACGCATCGGGTAGCGCGAATAGATTCCGTGAAGATATTGTTGATCCTAGAGCTTCCCCTTCTATTAAAGCGGTATAATTTTCAGTATATTATAGATTTTAAACTAATAAGTAATTCTATACTTCTAAATTTAGCTTAATTGAGGTATTATGAATACATGTGACTCGAATTAAGGTTTTGGATGAGATGGTTAACAGAGTGTTTATTTGAAAATTTATGCACAAGCCAACCGGCTGATCATGAATTCCCATGATCCTTGTCTAAGAAACTAAGAGTTTAAGCTTTTTGATGAGTTCGTTAACACTAACAAATGACATTTTAAACAGCTAAAAGGCTTAATATTAAGATTTTAATTATCTTCATGTAATCTGATTTAACTGTTGGATCTTCTGCGTTGAGATTTGCGCTGAAATTTTGGATCATAAAGTGGAAGTTACGATTTTTATCCAGCATTTTTTTTTTATTTTTTTTATTTGTATTCAGTAATAGGATGGAATTGTTTCCCCCAACCCTCTCTTTCTGCAGGGTTTTCATGGATCACCAATGTCGACTAGGGTACCTTCAATGCCGAATCCACCTGTAATACGCCCAAGGGTACGTGCTAGACGAGGACAAGCTACAGATCCGCACAGCATAGCTGAGAGGGTATGCTTCTTTGAATTTTCCATTCGTTGTAGAATTTGTTGTGGGATGCTTAGTTTCATGGATTTGTAGCATGTACTATGGGTTGTTTCGTGGTTTAGGGATCTCAAACTTATGCGAATTCCCCTAGTTAAAAATAATAACATAAAACCTTCAGCGAATAGTGATTGACAGAAGTTTGTTTTTAATGAAGTTTCATATCAGAGCGAAACAATTGGTTAATAGATATGTTCTAGTTACTCTTTGTCTGTTGGGATAGATGACCTTCTCTTCCCAGTCATTATGATCTAAATTGATGATTGAAGGGCTGAATTATATGTAGTCTATGTTACCGGAAGAAGTGAAAATGCATATATGATTATGTTGAAAATAGATTATGACCATAACTTTTGACGAAAAAAACTAAAGGCATGTTTCACTCATTTTACAGCCACTCCCATCTTATGTTTTCTTTCTTTATTACAGTTGCGCAGAGAAAGAATAGCTGAAAGAGTAAGAGCATTGCAAGAGTTGGTTCCCGGTGTCAACAAGGTCCATATTTTCTTGTACTATCTGGTATACTATAGTGGTGCAGTAAAATTCTGGTTGTTCAGTTTGGGATGAAAGGAATCAGATTTTTCATTATTTGGACAAGATTTGAAGTATCAAGGTTTCAAATACCGCAATATTGATAAAACCGGGAAGTTATAAATATCTGTTTATATAGAAACTATATGTCTTCCCTAATTTATTTTTTGTGCTTCTGTTCCCTCCCACTACAAACTCCGATCCTCATATCAGATGCATAAATATGAAGATGGAGAAAAATGTTATCCTCATTTAGTTTGATTGATATCTATACGAGTGCTTGGTTTTCTTTTTATGAAAGACCCGTTTCAAGTATGATTAATCAAGCATCAACATCTGGGTATACATTCTTGACCTAGGAATGAGGTATTCTAGCTTCTGCCCTCACTATATGTCTGTTGGTAATCCAACATGAAAATTTTCACTCGGAAATATCTTAATTCAATCTTATATATTATAACACAAGTGAATACACCACAATGAGCTGCCAAGGCACGAATAGTCAATCGTCTATAACATCAGTATTATTATTATTATTATTATTATTATTTATTTTTATTTTTTTTGTGTGCAACACATTTAAAGGAGCACCTTTGATGTGCTAAATTGCTCCATGATTTTCCATAGCCTGTCTTATTCTCAATTGCATTAGGATAACTGTCATTTGGTTGTATAAAGAATCCTTGCTCACATATTTCAGTTAAATGTTTATGCAGACTGACAGAGCAGTGATGGTCGATGAGATTGTGGATTATGTGAAGTTCCTAAGACTTCAAGTGAAGGTAAACAAATATGAAGCTCTGCATATATTTTAATTTGTATATTTTTATTCCTGTAAAATTCAGTATATTTGATGAAAGAGTAAAATAGGATACTCCATATTTAAGATGCTAAAATATATTGTGGTTGCACATCTTACAATATGCATATGGTTTCATGCACCGTTACTGATTTCATTAATTGTTGAATCATTATTATGAATTTAGAACCAATGCCCAAATAGCATGTGATGAACATAAAACAGCTGGCATTTGTAGGCAGACGTCTTTTCTTTTATCATATTTATGATCAATCTTGAACCTTAATTATAATCTGAATCTCACATGCAAATGCTTATGCCTTCCTGTAGTCTTTACATAGTTTTGTCCTAGGGGAGTAGTTGTTGTTGTATTATTGTGTTCAATTTTGAAGTTCTACACCCCGGTCTTTTGGCTGAAAATATCTTCTAAAAGTTGATCTAAATTTTATGACTTCAGTCGCATAGATATTCAGTGAATGATATTGACTTTGAGAGGCTTGATGCTGCCCCTTAGCCCCCGTTTGGCCCCCTATCAATTTCCATTCCATTACATTCTATTTTTCTCTCTCCTATTTTCAACCACACAATCTTCCATAAAATAATATTACACGTAAAGCAGACTTCTTTTCTTTTATCATATTTATGATCAATCTTGAACCTTAATTATAATCTGAATCTCACATGCAAATGCTTATGCCTTCCTGTAGTCTTTACATAGTTTTGTCCTAGGGGAGTAGTTGTTGTTGTATTATTGTGTTCAATTTTGAAGTTCTACACCCCGGTCTTTTGGCTGAAAATATCTTCTAAAAGTTGATCTAAATTTTATGACTTCAGTCGCATAGATATTCAGTGAATGATATTGACTTTGAGAGGCTTGATGCTGCCCCTTAGCCCCCGTTTGGCCCCCTATCAATTTCCATTCCATTACATTCTATTTTTCCTCTTTTTTGTTTTCAACCACACGATTTCATAAAATAATATTCCACGTAAATCGAAAATTTTTCCTTCTTTTTCAATGACTTATTTTTTTCAAAAAAATTATTCCACCCATTTTCATTTCTACAAAATGGGGGGCCAAATGAGGGCTTAGTCATTCTTTCTTATCAATGTTTCTAATTCATTTAATATTACTATAGAGTAGAATTAAATTATCATAACACCTGACCTTTTTCACAAGATCCATTTTCAATTGATTTCAAAGTAGGATTCCACTATACCATCTTCTTTTCAGGTTTATTCAAGACAGGGTATGATGTCATTGTGTAAAATAATGGAAATGTACCCTTCATGTCATTTCTATATTCAAATGGAGGGAAGAAAATGTCAAGATTTTGTTGATATCCTGTGACTTTTCCTGGCAATGGTGGGACATGGAACTTTTCCTATGGATGGTGATGGTGAGGCCGAGGCACTCATCTGTTAGTGGATTTTGGGACCCATGAAAGGAGTCTATGCGTGTGACGTATTGTAATTATATTTATATTTTTAGTACTAGTGGGATAGGTAGAATGGACTAAGTTACTTTTGTTCCCCTAAAGTTGAATTTAGTGTCAAATAGAAATCAATTGCATCAAATATTTTGACTTTCTCCACTCCCCTTCTATCAGTATCGCTGCCAGATTATTGTGGGGACGAGAAAATTGTTCGAAGACTATGTTGGATAGTAGAGGGGGAAAAGGGTCTTTTATAACTTTTTAATTCTGCCTCTTTTGAATTAATCTTATTGAGACACCTCTATCTTCTTGATTCTGACGTTCACTGCCTTCTCTTTAAAACACATCCTCCCCGAGTCTTCTCTGTGTTCTCCGCCTCAATTTCCTCTACTCGACAGACCCTAAAATTGCTTAGAGCAACAAATCATGACTCCTTAATGGTGTCTGTGCGCTCATTGACTATAGCCTCGTTAAATAATTGAAAGTACGGGAATTTATTATAGTACGATGCCGGTAAGTTATGCTCAAGAATTTACAAATGCAGACGAAGATACTGATGGGCTTACTGGCAGAATGCTGAGTTGAAATCTGTTATTCAAAGTTTGCTGTCCACCAATGAATAAATGGCACGTCATTTTATATTAAAGTGTCACCTAATTTTAAACACACTTAGCACCGAGAAAAAAGTTGAGTATGTTACTTTAAAATGATGTGTAAATACGAAATGAATAGCTCCCCACTCAACACAGATCAAATGTCACATGATGCACTCGACCTTAATCATATTTACTGACTGGAACAACCCGAAAAAACAGAGGATCTCGAAATTTAATCAAGTTAGTTGCGGCTTACAACCAATAGGAGCGCTATCAACTTCAGAATTTTCATCATTATTAGGGACGACAGTCGCAAAAAGTAAACTAGTTCAGCAGGCATCCAGACCCTGGCATGGAGGTGGCTTAGGCTCGCTTAACAATGTTGTGTTCCCACCTTCTGGTCCAGAATTTATGCGTTTTGGGTTTTGTGTGCCTCGCTGAAATATAAATTTCGTAGAAATCATGACAAAAACCTTTCAATAATCAGATTCAACATGCTAAACTTTTTTTTTTTTTTTTTTTTTTTTACAAGGTGTCCAATTCTAGACTAATCCTTGGGTCTGTGATCCGACCCCTCTTCACACAATCCGGTTAATCGCAGGATGTGCCTCCAACTGGCCAGGGTCCGAGCGCTCCCCACCTGGTCTGACAAAGTGCCAAGCAAGCCAATCCAAGTTGCACCTTGCCTTCCAAGAATAATCCTTGCCTTCCAAGTTCCCACTTGCCTTCCAAGAATAAATCCTTGCCTTCCAAATGTTCCCTTGCCTTCCAAGAATAAATCCTTGCCTTTCAAGAGCCCTATGTTTCGAACTCACGACCTCTGCTCTGCCAGGTTTGACAGCGTCCGTCCTTTGCCAGTGAAGAAGTGCCCTGGGGGGGCCTCAACATGCTAAACTTAGTTGTATTACCGGAGGCTTTTCCCCTCTTCTCAGAGCCTCGACAATTTCCACAACTCGCTTCGGAGTGACATCTTCCTGAAATAGTTGAGAGAGACATGAGAGTTCGTTTTTGTAATTTGCTGTAAAAGATTAAATCCGACATCAATTTAGATATACTTAACCACAGAAAACTATGTATGACATGAACTTCATAATAAGTATAGGTATATCCTTCAGAACCATTGGAATAGTCGGCTACTGTAATCATAGGAGCATTTACGCAACATCCCTATTGATATCCAACAACATAAAACGCGTCATGTATATATTACTCGTCTTCTGCAAAACTAATTATATCACTACGACACATTATAACCTAATATATAAATCTTAACCATGCGAAAGTAAACAGTAACCACATGGTGTCGGAAAGAAACACACGAGATTTCCAAGATTCAAAGAAGTGCGTATCTCAACTTGCATCTACAATGCCATAGACAATGACGTGATACTAATTGATGCCAAGTAGCAATTAAAATAGTCACAAATCTTTAAGCAGCTTATCTGTGTCTGTGATTGCAATGGTTGTGCCATAACTTTCTTAGCACTGCATATAACATCTCGACAAAATTTTTGAGACGGAAATTATGTTTCCCATGACAAGTGGCACTTCGAAGAATAGCATTCCACTCGCTTTTCAGAGGCAGAAAGGAAAATGTAAAGTTAGGATTAACTATGCTGCTTTCTTCACTTGTGCCTGCTCAGTTTCAATACTAGTTATTCTATTACATATCTTAGATGAGTATCCCCATAACAGAGAACTATTCTACCACAATACCTGTCGCTTAGCATGACTATACAAAAAGTAAAAATTATATTTCTGTGCATCCATTGCTGGCTCAATGCACAGGAGTCGAGAAGAACATAAGAAGGCAGCCATAAAAATATTCTTTTCTGATCAAGAAATGAGGCTGTTAAGACTCACCATGCATTCCATTTCTCCAACAGAAAACAAGCCATCCTTGGTTACTTCTGCAAAACATAAATGACAATTCCCAATTGAAAAGAAAAGTTTTAAGGATCGTTCGATTTCCAAACTTAAAAGATCGTGGCAGACCAGAAAGACATATCATAAAGGACTGACAATTGCGCTTTACTCCAAGGTGTTCCAGCAATGTATCTTCAATTTCTCTAGAACCACGTATCATGCATGGTGTTGTACCACATACCAAAAGGTGGTATTTGCCAACCTGAATGGCAAGAGAGCAGTTCGCCATGTAAGCTAAAGTTCATGTAACAATGATTGGCCAATACATGTTTTCATGATTTTTACGTAGAATATCTCACCTTCGTTCGGTTAAACATTGAATAGAATGTTGCAACCTCATAAACACGAATTGGAGCAACTTCAATAATCTTAGCAACCTTCGTTACAACAGGATAAATTACGTGAGTGTATAATCAAATGTATGGTAGTTAATTTTATTCATCAGAATACTGCACAGAAGCAATACATATGGCACCACTTTTCAAAAATCATTGGATTAACATTGGACGTGACAGGGTTCACATTTCACAGTTAACACAAAATAACAATAATAAGACTACAAAAGTAGCATGATCACAGGGAAAACTAGCTCAATAGCTTATACTATTTTGGTAGGATAGTTATGAGCTCAGTTTAAGTCTATTTGTCCGAAAAATTTTTAGGGGAATATAGTTCATCTTAACAGTCCTGATAAACCTCTTAGGGTCCATTTTGTATAGTTGTTAGGGTAGAGCTTCTAAATCTATAGATTTTATCAGTAAAGTTTTTTAAGAAAGGTACTTACTATAAACGCTGTTTGATAGTCAATTCAACGTGTTGTTTACATTAAATTAATAGTTTGGCAGCACATACTTCATAATAATTGGACAAAAAATAATTCATTTATTATATTTCTCATCATTTTTTTATAAATAATATTTATTTCATATCATATAGCGTATAAAGAAATTAACATTAATTAAATTATCATGGCACAGTTATTTAAGTTTAAATCATATTATTTAACACAACGTATATTTGTCACTTTCATATATAAAGTAAAATCAATGAAAATCGTGTAAAAAATAATTTATAAC